AAAACTCCATGTAGAGGAATGTGAATAACAACCTTTCTTACTCACGGGCCCAACCAGAAATACCAGAGCTCTGGATTTTCCGATCCTGAAACTTAAGTCCTTTGATTATTAAGCCAGGAATTCTCAACCTTTGTTGAGAAGCTCTCTGCAGGAGCTCTACCATAACACACACGCCCACCAGACTGCAAATTCCCATACTCAGAGCCCCAGAATGTGTACTATAAACGCTCTACAGTGATCCTGACACAACGTGGTTTGGGAACAAGGCTAGACTCTCTCTTGACATTCCTTTGATGACCTAAAATTTTATTACTTGGAATTAAATTTTTTTCATTTAAATATTTACAAAAGGCAATCATCGAGATACACCGGTCAAATATGTAATAGATTTTTGATGTGAAGTCTTTGGTTACAAACATAACCCCAATCACAACAATGATTCTTTGGCAAAGTCAATTTACTTTTAAGAGTTACTTTACAATGTGATTTCCAGAAATAAATTGTAATAAATAAGACGAATGTCTATAGGGGAAAAATTATTTCTGCTATTAATGGCAACACTTATTCACTAGGCTACAAAGATAACTAAGTACAGATGCAGAAAAACTTACTTTATGAAGGCATGAGGGACATACTACACAATACCTGGCTACAGCTCCTCATGACTGTCGAGGTCATGGGATGCAAGAAAGGTCTAAGAAAATGCCCAGACCTGAGGAGACTAAGGAGACACAGTGAATATTGTGTCCTAGATGGAATCCTAGAACAGAGAAAGGACATTAGTGGAAAAACTAATGACATCTGAAAAAAGTCTGAAGTCTAGGTAACAGTAACATACTAATACTGGGTTCCTCATTGTGACAAATGTACCATGGTACTATAAGATGTTAACAATGGGAGAAACTGACTGAGGGGTATGTGGGAACTCTATTATCTTTGTAACTTTCCTGTACCTCTACAATCATTCCAAAATAAAAAGTTTATTAAAGAATAAATACATTAGCCAAGATCAAATTAAATTGACCTTACATTTCTAGACTATGTGATAGTTTTAAAAGCCTATTTATATTGTCTCTGTAATTTGAAAAGCAAAAGAAACACAGTACAAAATGAAACACCTCATTTCTGGGCATGTGCTACGTCTCCACATTCTGCTCCAGCTTCCCTTTCCACTGCCTCTTTGTTCATTTTGCTTATAACCTGAATCAGAGATCTCTCTGAGGTCAATGACCGACATTATCTATCCCTGCCTAGATATCAGGATAGGTAAATAATCTAATCTCAGTTCTGACCTAATTTAACTTTGTCTCTTATCAGTGTCTCAAATTTATCATCTGCAAATGATTAAACATTTTTTCTTACTGGCTAATTTATGGTGCCAGTCTGGAGCTCTGTGAAACATTCTACCAAAAAGAAAATATTACCATGTAATTGATAATGGTGGCAGCCATTCATTACATAACATTGTGAATTCTCTATACCTCTGATGTAAATTGACTTGTTTAAAGGAACAAACTAGTTTTATGCAGTTTTGAAAGAAAGCTTTGAATATTATTGAGTCTTGCTTAGAAGCCAATATAAACCTTTAGCCATATCCATGTCTGAATATTTCTGGTATCAATCTGAAGAATAAACACAGAATCCTTTGGCTAGCTAAACTGTTTATGAATGATAAATTCAGTACACTTAGTATGAATGTGAAGATGAAATGCATGCCCTTTTAGAAAGGGTAAATTAATAAGTACAAGGCAGCATTATCCAAGCATACACCTGGTTATTGAGTACTGTAATGCCTCCCCAAATATAATATCACATTTTAATCCTGAGAATTCAGTTCAATCCAAATGACCAAAATATTTGTGTGTGTCTACTCAGTGCTGAAGTAAAACTTTTAAAACATGGCTGTTTTTCTGGTAAAAAGTAAAAGTTGAATTTGCATAAAGGACAGCTATGATGAACCCCATACAATAAATTCCCTATTATCTGGCATGGTTGGAAAATGAGGTTAATCACATATTCTGGCTTATAGGGAGTTACCATAGAGACTGTGCACATATGATCCATTTCTAAGAATAAAAGAAAGATAATATACACTCAACACTGAAACGACACCGAATGTAATTTAATTTTCCTCTGATGAGTCAGACGCACTTGATGATCCTGCAGTGCCTCAGAATAATCATTGTGAACATCATCAATTATCTATGTACCCTATTTATATAGAAGTGCTAGTTAATGGAGCTTTTCCATTAGCAGAAATCTGAATAATGTGAAGGTTTTCTGGACTTAAAAATACGTATGGTTTTAAGTTGTTGCAAGTTCAATATAATAGCCTATTGCATTTGCAAATAGAGAGATCTGATCAACATAATGACAGTCTTGATGGGGATATGGAGGGACCAGAAAGATGCATTTGGTGTAAACTAGATAGAAAATTTTATTTTGCTTGTATATTAGTAGCAACATTGCAAAATTCTAACCACCGGGAATCAAAATACTTTTTAAGGAGCTATTCTTATTTTCAATATATATGGTTAGAAAGGGTTATCTTAAAATGACAACAACCTTTTTCCTCTCTTGAATTTCACTATCAATAGAGTTTTACTGATTTACAAACATATTCAAGTTCTCCTTCTCATTATAACTAGTTTTCTACTCTAAAATTCTACAGTATTGTTACATTATCAATAGAAGCATTTCTCAAACTGTGTTCTTTGAAGATTTACCTATTCTGACCTTTTCCTATGGATTCACAAAGTATATCAACACACCAAGGGACTGAAGACTGTTGTAGCTTAAAAAATGAAATAAAACCTTTACATTACAGTACTCAATAACCAGGTATATGCTTGGATAATGCTGCCTTGTACTTATTAATTAACCCTTCTTAAAAGGGCATGCATTTCATCTTCACATTCATACTAAGTATACTGAATTTATCATTCATAAACAATTTGGTTAGCTACAGGATTTCATGTTTCATGTTAGAATTTTGCAATGTTGCTACTGCTTTTTTCCAAGTGTATTTGACCATTCCATTTTTGAAGGATATCTGTCAACATTTCACTGGCATGCTAGGGTAAACAATATCAGAAATAATAACCTTAAAGAATAAGTACAAATTCTTTTCATTTTGAAAATGAAAGACAAAACCATTTCATAATTTTCATCTAAAAACAGGATAAGAGGTGGTTAAATTCTGAATTATTACAATATTCTTGAAATTTTACCAATTTTTCTCATCAGTATCTAATCCTGGTAAACTGGATTTTATGATGACCCATAATAGGTGGGCTACTGACCACCAGAGAGCACAGAAACCCATCTGTTCCATTCAGTACAACTAAATTTTGTAGACCTTAATATTTCTATCCCTGATGTATTAATGTTTCCAAAATTTAAAATTGTAAACATATGCAATTTCACCCATTTCTTAAATTACCCACTACCCATTACTTACTCTCTCTCACACACATGTACATAAACAGGCACCTTAGTCTGTATGACCCTAAGTGATGTTAGAGAACTTTAGAAAAATATTCATAATACTTTTGGGTTTCTAAAGTATTCTGGATAAACTTATCTAGTCTGTCTATACTACTCATATTAATTGTTATTTAATCTTCAAATTACCACATGCATTCTACCTGGTTACAAAATAAGCACTCAATGGGAAAAATGTACCCAGTAGAGTTCCCAGGTAAATGTGTTCACTTTAATATTATATCCTAAGGGTATGTATGTGTCTGTGTGTGTGTGAGAGAGAAAGAGAGAGACAGAGAGAGGAAGAGAGATTTTTCTGTATAGCCATTCCATCTATAAAAGTAAAGTGAAAAAGAGGAGGACCTCAAAAGCCAACTTTGTGACTTCTAGTGCTTGGGGCAATTGAATTTAACTCATTTTAACATATGGTTAAAACGAAAAAAAGGCCGGGCACGGTGGCTCACACCTGTAATCCCAGTACTTTGGAGGCCAAGGTAGGTGGATCACCTGGGTCAGGATTTCAAGACCAGCCTGGCCAACATGGTGAAACCCTATCTCTACTAAAAATACAAAAACTAGCTGGGCATGGTGGCAGGTGCCTATAATTCCAGCTACTTGGGAGACTGAGGCAGGAGAATCACTTGAACCTGGGAGGCGGAAGTTGCAGTGAGCTGATATCGTGCCATTGCACTCCAGCCTGGGCAACAGGAGCAAAACTCTATCTTAAAAAAAAAAAAAAAAAAAAAAAGGAAAAAGAAAAAAAAGAGACATGTTCTTATAAATGACAGTTTTACCCACCATTCCCTTACATAAAAATGTGGCCACTAGGCTACATTGTATCAGCAATATAGAATGCAGCATAATGCTGCATTACAGCATTATATAGCATGGTCTCCCAAATGCAACTGTACAATTTCCTCACCCCTCACTCTTACCTACTGCTTACAAAGTCCTTCCAGGGTTTCTAACCCTGATCCCTAGAGCACTAGACAAGGTTTGCACTAATAAAATAGGTGTTTATAGCCCAAATTGGAACTGCTTGCTCTGACATACAAGCAGATCATAAAAAACAACCCAAACACCCTTAATTCTGAGGCAAAAATTTAGATTACAAAGGTCTATGGTAATAACATTTTAATAGGTTTAAACCAAATAATTCTAACATCTCTAAAAATAATCAATTTGAAATGCTTAGGATATGGTTCTTTTTTTATAATTAACTCATCTTTGAGCAAACATGTAATGTTGAGTTTAGTATCAGTGTCAATTTCTTAAATATTAAGGTATATGTAGTCTTGTTTGGATTAGTGGGGGGAAAAAAGCACATTTCCTAAAAGTAACTGTATTGTATATGTCAGGACAGTAGGGGTGGGATTTACACAATTAATGTCCTTTTGGTATTTTCTCTTCCAGTTATAAACAAACAAACAACACAACAACAGAAAGCTCTGTTCTTTACAGACATTAGTAAAAATATACATATATATTAATAACTATGGCTCTAAGTGGACACTTACTGCTGCGTTTGCATTAATGGCATGTTTGTGCTATCATAGTTGTCTGTGTGTAAAGGAGGTATGATTTCCCCAGTCACAGGGTGGAACACAGGAAGCGTTGACAGGGGCCATGCTATCTCTCTATTCTTGGACATGTCTCGAAGCTCCTTGGTAGATTTCTGAATAGCACTGTGATGAACCAGTTGGATGCTAGGTCAAAAAGAAATAAAACAACATATATTTAGAATCATATATTAACCTGACGGGTCATCAATTTGAAAAAGTTATGAAGTATTTTTATCTTTAAAAATAACAAGACATTATTGCACTTTGGACATTCAATAAACTATTTCAGAAAGTCATACATCTCACATACTTTTAATGTAACAAAACTAAAAATTATAAACTGATTTTAAAATACATGTTTTATTAAACTAAGCTATGAAGCATTGTATTAATATTACTGTCCTAAGTAACAAACTAGTTTTCTATTTATTTTCTATGATTAAGATAAAACTTCCATAGCTTTTATATTTTTGCTTCTGGTGGGGCATTTATAAATACTCACAGAAGTTTCATTTTATGGTAGGTTATTACTGTAGATTCTGGAAAACTTGTATGAAAGGTCTTTTCATCTGTTCTCTGGTTTATAGAAATGCAGATTGGAAACCACATAGTATAAATGGTAAGTTAATATTCTGAATCTGAAATAATTTTTAATTTTTTAAAAATTAAAAATGTTTAATTTTTATCTGTGTAATCTTATTAAACCCTTTCTAGTTTTAGTTTCTACCCCTCCTAAATATCTCTATTTAGAAAGCAGCTTTCACATTTATGAAATAAACTATGAAAGATGACAAATGAAAAAAAGCTTGACACACATGTATGGAGCATGATGGGCAACTGAGAGGTGGGAAAAAATGATGAAGAAAATAACAGGAAAGAAGACACTTACTCTGGTGTTTGCATGTTTCTCTTTTCCCTAGAAACAAAACAAAATTTATGAATTAAATAATAGCATTGATATTTGGAACATTAAGACTATATGCTCATGGGATCTTGCATGATGTGGAAATGCTGACATTGTTACTATTAAATGCAACCAGGCAGCATTTGCCACCAGGTTTATGACATTACTTGGATGAGTACACATACAGCGATGGAATACTGATGAGAAACACATAGAAAAATGAAAAAAAATGGAGATTAAGAATCAAGGCCTTGATTGAAATAAACTCTATGACATAATGAAATCAAGCTACATGTAAAAATGAAAGAATTTGTTACTTGCTGCTTTATTAAATTTTTATCCTTTCCTTTGTCGCCCTGACTTCCAGATTATCTTGGGAGATTACCTTAATTGACATAGATGTCCTGAAAGTACTAACTATTCATGAAGTGAAGAGTTGTTACTCAAATTATACCTTATTTTCATTAATTTACTCCTTCGTTGGGTTTTAAAAATATATTTTATACATTTAGATTGTGTTACCCTGTTTGACGGCAGAATGATTTCAAGAGTTTTGACCATCACTTCTGGTCAAACTAACACGATTAATTTTTTAAGTGCAATTACTATGTCAGTAGATTCTGCAGTCTCTGCTCATTACAAGATGGCTTGTATAACCAAAATATCTAGCCTCAATTATTCTTGGGACTGTTTTGCCAGTGTGAATTTACATCTAGCCTTAATAATTTTTGAATAAAGTTATTATATCCCCTAACTTGATTTACTAGACTCAAAACTATTTTAATTCATTTTAAAGGAATAAAGTATTGCAGTTTGGACACAATTTCAATTCATTTACAAAGTGTTTTATGAACTAAAATGAAATTTCACTTTTAATGGAAACTTCTATGTTGTTATCTTAGCAGGATCTCTAATTTTCTTATTAGTTTTAAAGTACTCACACGCCTTCCCGTCGGCAGCACATGATATAAGCAAGTATTAGAAAAAGGACCAGTGCTACTGCCGAGGGCACAGCCAGTGTAATTAGGAAATCCGTGTAATAGTCTCTGCTTTTCAAAGAATCAGAAGGGGGTTTGTATTCCCCACCATCAGGTAAAATCCCCTCTCCACGAATCACTTCCTGATAGGTGGACACTTGCTTTGTTTTATCAACCTGATACAAAAGAAGACAATTACACAACAAATTAATCATTGCAAACATTATGAGATTTTAAGATCTGGATACACTAAAACATTCTTTGACAAATTGTCTAAAAAGCCATCTTTTCCAATTACTTTATCACCGTGAATTTGCAAGTATTTATTGGAGGCAGGGAATGTAATGAATGAAAGTAATAAAGGCTTTACTTTGGTCTACTTTCTATGTTCTTCCTAAAACACATATACATATACATTTACATGTGTACATATTTAACATGTGTGTACCTATGCGTGTAGTTGTTCGTTTTCAGTTTCCTTCCTCTAAAGCAGCAGTCCTTTACACTACCATGTAAATGTCTTATTTCCTAGTGGCAAAGCTCAAGTGCAGATTTTACCAAACCTAAAACTGGCTGAAAACCAGGTATGCACGTATTTGTTCTAAGGTTAGCGACAGAGAAAAGTGTGAAGGGGAGGGGGTGGAAAGAGGGACAATTTCCAAACGTGTTGTCCTTGATCTTTCTGCCTTCCAGCTGACAGAAGTAACTTTTATGGAAGATAGTCTAGGGAATATGGAACCTATCCCAGTCTTACTTAATTCTATCCCAGTATCAAAAAAAACTACAACAGTTGCACTATGTTAATTTACCTCCACATTAACTGTGCTGCTTTCACTGAGTTGCATTTAATTATGCTAAGGTTTTTATTGAAGGACACTAAAAATGTAGCCATGTGAAATTTGCTACTACATTTGCTACTAAAATAAAATGCTGGGGAGAATTAGTTGTAGCATTATTCAGTATCTTCTCCCAAAATGTAAATGACGAGTTGATGGGTGCTGAGGAGTTAATGGGTGCAGCACACCAACATGGCACATGTATACATATGTAACAAACCTGTACGTTGTGCACATGTACCCTAGAACTTAAAGTATAATTTAAAAAAAATAAGAAAAATTTTGTTAATAATATAGTGTTAGTGAAAACTTGTTTTCTGCCAAGGAATTGATGTGCTTCCTTTTTAGAATGAGAACTAAATATGAATTTCATTTTTTTTGTCCTACACATTAGGCAGCTTGTTGTCCAACACAGCCTTATGCTTGTTTTTGGGGGGTGAAATTTAGGTCCTGATTTTCCACTTCTTTTATATTTTATTTATTATGTTTATTGTATGACTCTTGTTTAACCTTCTGAAATCTTTTGTGGCAAGATGTGGCATAAAAATAAATACACGTAAAATAAAAAATAAAAATTCCCAACCTTTCCACTTATAAAGCCTTAACAGATAAACAAAAATCTTCAAGGTATATATCATTTTTTAACTTTTAGAGATTGGGTAATAGTCTTAAACTCATTTTCCAGAACAACCACAAGTAACATGGCATTGTTAGGGTCTGCTGTCCACCGATGATGCTGGGAGAGGAATCTAAGTTATGGTTGCAGCTGCTCAGTCTCCTGTACCCCTGTATCATTAGCACCATGATTGAAATATTGAGCATATTTGCCTATAACAATAATTTTACTTGATTTAGGAAGGCAAAGAAGGCCATTTTTCTAAAGGCCATGAGACAAGAGGCATGAGAAGAAGAGTTCAAGGCAAAAGGCCACCAGGAGTGCTAAGTGTTGCAGTGTGAGTAATATGTTCTCCAGGATGCAGCTGGCTCTCTAAGACATGAAGTGATAGTTGTGTTTATGTGTCAGTAACTTTGTTAAAATGTCAGCTTTAAACTTAGATCTAATTCACTCACCACCAATCATAAAGAGTTGAAAGAAGTTAAATCTAAAAGGACACTAAAGAATTAAAACATCAGTTGGATACATTAATATGAAAAGTAAAAAGAAAAAACAAAGAATTAAAACAACCCTCCTACCTTTCAGATAACAGGATCAAAATATTATATACAGACATAAAATATACAAACATATATAAAATATTACACATCTTACATATATTTGAAACCTTACATTTTCCTAAATCTGTTAACATGCAAATTCAAATGTGATTTGGAAAGAAATATTATGTTTATGAATTATGGGTAAGATTCTAACTTCACTCGAAATTGTCTCTTGTTTCTTGGACTTTCCCTATAATTTGAGTTTTCAGAACATTAAATCATAGCACAATATTGCTTTATTTTCAGATTTATTATTGTACTCCATCCTCTCCTTCCAAAGTGGGTTAGTGGTAGAATATTTAAGAAGAATCATTCTGCACATATCATACTAACTCCATTATCTGTGCTCATTAGCAGCTATATGGATGTCCAGGGGGTTCATTTGGACCACCTGCCAAGCTAATCCAGCCCCAGCAACTAATCAAGGACAGAATAAGTACAAAAGTGGATATATTCTTTCCTAAATGGATGCACTGTCAATGAGCTTTCCAGATCCTTAATCTGAAGGGAAGTCAACTGCAGTTCAAGTAAACCCAGGATTTATTTCTAAAAGCAATTCAGGTTTTAGTCAAATGTTAACTCCAGTCACATCATTTTTAATTAAACTTGCAAAAACAAAATAAAAACTTACCAATGAAATTTTGCACCAGTCAATGTAAAATTGAGTACGAAATTTTTTATCACATGTTATTACAGGCTCCATTTCTTGACTACATCGCAATTGATTCTGTGGATTTTCAACTTCCCGTAAACAAGAAGAAAACGGGACATCTGCACCAACCATGACATAGACGCTGTAAAAATGTGAAACTCTCAGGTTATCCTTTAAGAAAATTGAAAACACTAAAAAACAATCTACCTTGAAAGCAGGATTTAGCCTTTTGAATTGAGAGATTAACTAGACTCATCCCTGAGGTAGGGGCCTAGGCTTTAAAAACAATGATTCATGTAGGGGCTTCCTTTCATTCATTCCTTTATTCAGCCAATATTTACTGAGCACTTTGGTATACCAGATACTCTCTCCATTCTATGTTAATTTCTAAAAGCTTTATTTCATCCCATTTATTTTCATTCAGTATAAACATGCGTCATATTCTGATTACTATATTTAGTAATTACTATATTTAGTAGACTACTTAAATTAAAAAATTACCCTTAAGGTAAATTAGTTAGAAAATAACCCCACTACTACAATAATAAATAACTAAGTAGTACATTTCACTTAATTTTCTTATAATAAAACTCTTAAATTACATCCCTGGAAGTATGGAGCTTTGGGTGGACATCACTATTTTACCTACCAGTTCAGTCAGTTTTTCTACTACACAAACCCCTATATGCTTGGTCTCTCATCAGAAGGCCTTGCAGTCTTTTATCTAAGACATTAATATAAGAGTAAAATTATTGTTTGGTAAACACAAAGAGGCAAACAAAATCTATTTTGTTAGTGTAGGGGAGTTATGGGGAAAGACCTCTACTTAATTGACTGAAAAGATTTCACAACAGAAAATAGTGACAACAATATTTAAATAATCTTGGAGCAGCTTGAGAAGATAGGAATCTCATTGGCCTTTCAAAAGAAAAAAGAAAACCAGGAAAATACTCCAAGTAAATACCATTCCTTTTCATAATGACAATGCTAAGAAAAAGATGACAATGTAAAATGAAATAAAACCATCAAAATTCCAGCTACCTTCTTTGCAGAAGTTGACTAACTGATCCTAAAATTCCTAAGGAAGTTCATAGCACCCAGAATAGCCATACACACACACACACATTTTGATAAGGAAAAACAAATTTGTAAAACTCACAATTCCCAATTTGAAAACTTACTCAGAGCTACAGTAAGCAAGTCATCTGGTATGGGCATAGGGACAGACATACAGATCAATGGAATAGAACTAAGAATCCAGAAATAAACTCTCATATTTAATAAACTGATTATTATCACAGGTACCAAGACAATTCAAAAAGGAAAGAATAATTGTTATAACTAATGGTGCTGGAAAAACTGGATATCCACATATCCTGTCCTACCTAAAAAGGCAGATGAGAAGCATATGTGAAATTCATGGTCCTGAGGCATAGGCTCACTAAAAGATTGAGAACGAATCATAGGATTACAGAATTCTTCCCCTCCCACAACACCTGACCACCATATTACTAAAGGTCTACTTATAGTCAAATTCCTTTTACTCCATACATTAGTCTGGCTATCAAGAAAAAAATTATAAAACATACTATACAGCAAAAAAAAAAAAAGAAAAAAAAAAAAACAGTTTGAAAAGACTGAACAAGCATCAAACCAGACAGAGATGGCAGAGATGTTGAAATTATCAGACCAGAAATTTAAAACAACCATGACTAATATGCAGAGGGCTCTAATGAATAAAGTGAAACTGCTTTGCAAGAAATGTTAAAATAACTTCTGTTGAGAGATGGAAAAAGATATAGGTCAGAAACCGAGATCTACATAAAGAAAAGTAGAGCATCAGAGAAGGAATAAGTGAAGATAAAACCTTTTATTTTTCTTAATTGATCTAACAGATGACTTGTTTAAAATGATATCTACAATTTATTCACCCGTGTATCCATAAATGTATATATCTATATGTTTATATACACATATATAAGCAAAATAAATGACAGCAATGATACAAGAGAGATGAGGGAGAGACAGGGATTATTTTGTTATAAGATACCTGCAATACCTAGGAAGTATTATAGTGTTATTTGAAAGTGAACTTGGATTGGTTTTATATGTATATTGCAAACTCTAAGACAATCACTGAAAGAAAGTTTAAAAAATACAACTGATAGGTTAAAAGAGGAGAGAAAACAATCATAAAAATTGCTCAATGAAAACTATAAAAAGTGGGAAAAGAATGAAAGACAAAAATAGAAACAAAAAACAAAGGCAACAAACAGGAAGCAGTAACAAATATGGTTATTTTATTTTATTTTATTTTGTTATTTTATTTTTGAGGCAGAGTCTCGCCCTGTCACCCAGGCTGGAGTGCAGATCTCGGCTCACTGCAACTTCCGCCTCCTGGGTTCAAGCGATTCTCCTGCCTCGGCCTCCCAAGTAGCTGGGATTACAGGTGCCCACCACCACACCCAGCTAATTTTTGTATTTTCGGTAGAGATGGGTTTTTACCATGTTGGCTAGGCTGGTCTCGAACTCCTGACCTCAGGTGATCTGCCTGCCTCTGCCTCCCAAAGTGCTGGAATTACAGGCATGAGCTACCATGGCTTGCCTCAATAATCACTTTAATCATCCATGGTCTAAATCTAAATACCCCAATGAAAAGATAGAGACTGTCAGAGTGGATTGAAAAACAAGATCCAACTATACTCTGTTTACAAAAAATACCTACTTTAAATATGAAGACACATATACATTAAAAGTAAATGGGTGGAGAAAGATATACTATGCTAACAATAACTCTAAAAAGCAGGAGGAGCTATATTAATTTCAGACAGAGCCAACCTCATAGCAAGGAAACGTATCAGAGACAAAGAAAGGCATTACATAATGATAAAGAGGTCAATTCTTTAAGAACATAAATCACTCCTTAATGTGTATGTGCCTAATAACAGTGCATCAAAATACACGAGGCAAGAGCTGATAGAAGTGCAAAGAGAAACAGATGAATCTACTATTATAGTTGGACATTTCAACATCTCTCTATCAGAAATGGACACAACCAGCAGGCAGAAAATTGGTAAAGACATAGTGAAACTCAGTATCATCATTAGTCGACAGGTTTTAATAGACACTTAGAGACTACTTCATCCAAAAATAGCAGAATACACATTCTTCTTAAGTTCACATGAAACACTTAACAACATTCCAGACCATAAAAAATTAACAAATTTAAAAGAATGGAAATCATATACTGTCTGCTCTCAGACCACAGTAGAATTAAACTGGAACTCAATATCAAAAAGATAACTGAAAAACCCCAAACTACTAGGAGACTAAGCAACATCCTTCAAAAATAGCACATGGATTAAAGGAGAAATCTTGGATGAAACCTGAAAATATTCTGAATTAAATGAAAATGAAACCATAACTTATCAAAATGTTCACAATTCAGCAAAAGCAATACTTAGAAGGAAATTCATAGCATTGAATGCATACATTAGAAAAGAAGAAAGATCTAAAATCAATAATTGAAACGTCCCCCTCAGGAAACTAGAGAAAGAAGAACAAGTCAAATCCAAAGTAAGCAGAAGAAAAAAATAATAATAAAAATCAGATAATCTGCACAGGGCCTATATGTAGTAAAGAAATTGAATCAATAATTAATATTCTAAAAAAGAAAGCATCAGGTACAGATGGGTTCATTGTTGAATTCTACCAGACATTTAAAGGAGAAATTATGCCAACACTCTACAATATTTCTCAGAAGACAAAAGCCAAAAGAATACTTCCTATCTCATTCTGTGAAACCAAAATTACCTTAATACCAAAACCAGAAAACAACATTACATGAAAAGAAACTACACATCATACCAGCATCTCTCATAAACACAGGTGCAAAAATCCTCAACAAAATATTAGCAAATCAGATTCAACAACGTATAAAAGGAATTATACACAACGATCAATTGGGACTTTCCCCAGTTATGCAAGGCTAGTTCAACATCCAAAAATCAGTTAATATCACATCAACAGGCTAAAGAAGAAAAATCACATGACATCATCAACAGATGCAGGAAATGCATTTGACAAAATCCAATGGCAATTTGTGGAAAAAAAAAAAATTCTTAGTAAATTAGGAATAGAGAGGGATTTCCTCAATTTGACACCTACAGCTAACATTACTCTAAATGATGAGAAACTTGAAGTTTTCCCACTAGCATCAGGAAAAAGTTAAGAATGTTGCCTCTCATCACTGTTTTTTAACATCATACTGGAAGTCCTAACTAATGTAATAAAAGACAAAAAGATAATAAAAAGTATACAGATTTGAAAAGATCAAATACTATCTTTGCAGATGATATGATTCAAAAGAATTGATTAAAAACTCCTAAAACTAGTAAGTGATTACAGCAAGGTTGCAGGAATCAGTAATAACCTTCCAAAACAGAAAGCATCAAAATACATGAGGCAAGAGCTGATACAGCTGATAGTAAGATTAATATGCTAAAGTCAATCACTTTCCTAGAACAGGTAGAACTTGAAATTAAAAACACAGACCGAGTGTGGTGGCTAACACCTGTAATCCCAGCACTTTTGGAGGCCGAGGCAGGTGGATAACCTGAGGTCAGAAGTTTGAGACCAGCCTGGCCAATGTGGCAAAACCATCTCTACTAAAAATACAAAAATTAGCTGGGCATGGTCACGCCTGTAGTCCCAGCTTCTCAGGAGGTTGAGCCAGGGGTTGAATCCGGCAGGCAGAGGTTACAGTGAGCCAAGATTGTGCCACTGCACTCCAGCCTAGGCGCAGAGTACCCTCCAAAATAAAATACTTATATATAAATATAAGTCTAATAAAATAGGTACAAGATCTGTATGAGGAAAATTACAAAACTGATTAAAGAAATCAAAGAAGAACTAAATAAATGGAGAGATATTCCATGTTTATGGATAGGAAGACTAAATATTGTCCCTATGTCAGTTCTTTCCAAATTAATTATAGATTCAATGTAATCTCAATCATAATCTCAGCAAGTTATTTTGCAGATATTAACAAACTTATTCTAAAGTTTATATGGAGAAACAGAAGACCCAGAATAGCCAAAACAATATTGAAGGAGAAGAACAAATTTTGAGGACACTACCCAA